ATGGGACTTAGTAACTGGGGTTATAACTAAGGTAACTATACTTATAAGTAATTATAACCCCAATTTAGGGGACTTATAACCTTACTTACTAAGTCCCATGATCCTCCAAGTAGGTGCCGGTGCAGGTACCATTGCAACATTGACGCAAAAGGAACCGTGTGCCGGGGACACGGCATGTCTGTGCGGGCAGGAGAAAGGCAGAACAGGACTGTGAGTTGCACGCATTGCGTGACCGAACTTTTGAATCGCATTGTTGAAGGCTTGGACTTGGCAGACGACCTTTTGCGTTTGAAACCGTCTCATGATACAGAGGTGGCGGATGTGTGCTTTGCTGTGTGTCATGACAACATTTAGCTTGACTCCGACGGATCTTTGAAAGAGGAGCTCAGTTCAACACGGATTTCAGCCCTTTGTTTGGTGCAGGCCTCTCCGGGTTCTCGCACAGCTTTCCAATACAATTAATTCACGGCACAAAGCACTGCTCCAGGCTTTGCTGTCATTGCCCGGATCTGATCCACTCTACTTGTCGGCACAATGATGATGTGCATCGCGAATAGTGCTCTCGACTGAAGGTTTGCTGCACCGGTGCCTGAAGATGGCCTGGTCGCAGAAGCAAGCAAACTGTGCCCTGGTCATGTTTTGCGATGTTTGTTTGGCAATGTTGGGCAGCAAGACGGCAAATTTCATAGCCTTGGAACGCTTGCTCGGTTTAGCAGCTGCTTGTCCAGGTACATATGTGACAGACAAGAATACAATCGCCGAGCGCACGAATGGACCATGAAGCATGCCTTCTGAATCACAGACGGCTCTTGTGTACCAGCACCATTAAAAGGAAGTGGCTGCGTGATCGGATGCGTCGCGACCAACTGGGATCTTGATTTTGGCATCGCACACATCCAAGCATGCGCAAACAGCCCGAGCTTATTCACACCTCTCGGCTCAGAAGCTGTTCCGCTGCATCTTGCGAAGCCTTGGTCCTGTCATATTAGAAGGGCGCGGGCCGTGTTGGCACTTGGAGCCATGATGTGACACGCATGTCAGACGCTGTCAGACCAGCTGTATCAGATGCCAGACATATTTGGGAGGTTGCCCCTTTGGCCCATCAAGCCATACTTGGATTCAGCAGTGTTCCCTTTCCCGGGTTGTACTAGTACATGTGCATCGCGTCTCCGTTGATCGAGGTCGGTGGTGCAGGTCACGGAGGCATTGTTGTTCGACGAGGTCGTGACTTCGGGAGCACACCGCTCCACTCCAGACTGGGCCAAGGTTCATTTGTGCAGCAAGTTTCGCTGATCAACGGGCGCTTGCCACTGGACGTCAGAAGTCGCTTTCTTCGTTTGCTTTCCAGCAGAAGCCTATATATGGCTTGCAGCTCAGTGCAAGCTAAGCCCTGTGCAAGCATGACAGGCGCTACGTCAAAATTTCTGGCGAGGGTCCCGATCATGGTTGGGTGAGCCTTCGATTTGGGGAAAAGCAGCTTTTGCGGCATGTCGATGCTACTTGATCAAACATGCGAAGGCTCGTTTTCCGGTGGCTTGCTTGTCACGATACCTGGCGGTTGCTCGGGCAACGGCCCAGGTAGTATCACCGACGAGGGTGCGTACTCGCTCATTCGGAAGCTTGGTGGCCATCCGTAGGTTTTCCTGAGCCATGTGCAAGCGCATAACCTTTGGAGACCTGGCTGCGTAGCGAAGGCTCGTAGTTTTGGCCCTTGGAAGTGTCGCATCAGATGGAAGTCGAGAAAGGCTGAGCATTCCCTCGCTTGGTTGCATCGTTCTTTGGTCTAGTTGAGTCTAGTTTGCATCGGAAGACCGGCCGGCGAGCTTATTGCAGTTGAGAGAAGTGCTACCAGTAGCGAATGCGGGCTTTGCTTTGATGCAGCTCCGAGCCGTTTGATGGAAACCTCAGAGCAACGATTAGGGCTGTCCATAAATTCACAAGTGCACAACTACTGTGACACCAGTAGAACAGGTTGTAACATGTTATAGCCATAATTGATCCCTACATAATTTGCGTTTTCAGTTTTCCGTGTCCATTGTGTCGCCCCGCAAGTAATGGACACCCAATCGGTTTGAGATTATGTGGTTTTCTGATCGGTTTCCAGGTCCATTCGTTAGTATTTACATCCTTCCGCAACAAGCAGTGGATGGACAGGGCCTCCAGCATAACTCTTCCCCTGCAACATGGCACTTTGCTCCTCCCCTCATCTCCCCTCCAGACCTTCTCAACAATGCCCGCCCCAGAATTCTGCTATTCCGGGCCCCCGCGAAACAATGGGTCACTATGTGGTCGCACTTGGGGCCTCCAAAAAAGTCAATGGAGGCACCCTTCGCCCGGTGATGTGCAGCCTCGAAGAAAGCATGCAAGGCAACCTGCCTGGCCAGGAAACTTCACTTCGCAAGTGCAGTCTGCCAGAGCAGTGTTCTCGGCAGCAAGGAGGGCAAGGAAGGACCGAAGGAAAGACACCCAGCATACAAGACAAGTCGCCACTGCATCCGTTTTTTCGTGGCAGGCTGTTCCTGTACAGCCGTGAACAAGGGTGCGAGAGGCTTTCAATTCGCATCCCTGCATCTTGTGCTCACCTGAGGAAGCCCGGGCTTGATCCTCTGCATCGGGGACTCCTTGACTGCCGGTGGATATCCGACACTCCTCCAGGCCTTGTTTTCCGATTCCGGCCCAGCCGTTGTGTGGCTCGCCTTACGGTATCCAGATCGGACAAAGCTCCTTGCCGAAGGGATCCGAATCTGCATGCTCTGAGGGCTTCTTTCTCTCATCGACTGTCAGGAAAGACTTTGGCGTGCGCGGGGCATCGATTTTGCCCATGGCTGGAGGACCATGTGTCGCATATTCCAGCTTAGCTCGGCTGGATGCGGAACTGCGGTGCAACCCTCCCGATGTCACCCGCTTGAAACCAGCCGGTCTGCGAGTTTGCGAGGCATGCTGTTTAGCTTGGATTTTACTACAGTATATCATAATATATTATGGCATACTACTACAGTAGATCATAGTATATTATCCCAGTGACAGGCGTGTTTTTTTAATGCTTTTCATTTCCCCAGCCAAAGGCGATTATTGTCATGCTCGGCACGAACGACGCTCGGTCCGCTCATTGGGATGCAGAGGCAGCCGTCCAGAGAGTAATGTTGTCTGTAGGCAACGCCACCGCGGGGTAGTATCATTTGTAGTTGTTTTTGCAAAGATGGTTTTTCACAAAAACCATCATTTGTAGTTTTTTTTGCTTGCCAGGCATTCCAGATGGAGTACTGCGCTCTTCTGCAAAGACTTGAAGGGTTGGAGCTCGAACCAGATGCTGTGGGCAGCCGACGGTTGGTGCTCATCGCAGTGCCTCCGAGGTGCATGGGATGTTGAGAGGAAATGGAACACTGCATGTATCGTTTTGGTGTTCAGTGTGGCCTGACCGTGCAGCATACTTTCCAGCAGACCTCTGCCCGCTGGGTCACATATTCACCGGTACGTACCGACCGAGACATGCAGGCAGCCATGTCAGTCCACGCGTGGATGGCTAGCTCCTAGCTCTGAGTGCCCTCTTCCTGCATGCGCCGCAGAGAGAGAGAGAGGTCTGTTGGGGGGGACTAGTTCTCCCTTGCCCCTAGCCCTGGCGAAAGAAGAGGTCTGTTGGGGGAGGCAAGTCCCCACCACAGCCCTGAGGAAAGAAGGAGACAGACCTCATCGGCCTGGGAGAAGAAAGTAAGAAGAAGAAGAAAAGAGGAAGAATAATAATAAGAATAAGACGAAGAGGAAGGGTGTTTTTTGGGGTCTCGGGGGTTTACACAGGTCGTGGAACACGCTCCCTTGTATCGGAAGGGGCCGCAGCGACCAAAGATCTGACTTGCATCAGCCACAGGGGCAAAAAAGCACGGCTTTTCAGTTCAGGACCGCGACGTCTTAGTGAGCTACAAAGGTGCGTGCATGCACCACAACTACATCCTGTAGCATGAGATCTTCTTGTTTCGCAAGCAAACCATAAGCTCATGTTTCCATCCTACAATCGTGTTGGCCAGCTAGAGGCGGTTTGCCGACATTCGTCAGATTTTGCATGCCGAGATCATCACCCACGCTCTGCCAGTCTAACACAGCAGGCAAAGAGAACACACTTGTATCAGGTCGTGTCTGACTGCACCAACATCAGTCAACCGCTCGCTGCGTAGTGGTCCCCAAAAAACAACCTATCCGAAAGGTCCTGCTCGGGAGGGGGGGGGGGGGTTCAGAGCGGATTGCCGAGAGCAATTCTGCAAGTGCAGCCACCTGTATATAACTGCACTTGGCATGTGCATGTCCGAAGGGTGACTCGGGTGCTGGTATTGTTGCCGTGCCGCTTGACAGTGCTAGCTTGTGCATCCCTTGGCAGAGTCACATCGAACGCTTGGGGCATTGATGTTGACATCGCGGACAACGACCTTGCAAATGCTCGTGCCCGAGGACAAGACAACCCTAGGTTGCAAGATGTTGAAAGGTTGCCAAACATGTGAAGAATAAATAGGTACTTGGCACCGAGGCTGTGGAAGTGGTTGCGCAAAAGATGGGGATGTGCTGGCCCGAGTTGTGTGACTGTTCGGGAAGTCCATGCCTTAGGTCTACTGAGTGTATCAGCTCGTCTTGCAACACCTTTGTGATGACAGGGCCTTAGTCAATCTGCGGGATGTTCTCGATCCAATTGCAGCATTCGTCTCCGATGGCGTTCACCTTACGCAGGCCAGGGGTTGCAGCAGCAGCTGGGTGTGTCCTGCTTCTTCTTGCAAAACTGGCTGGTGGAAATTCAGCAGGCTGGTTCGGCTTTGGTCGCAGAGAACGCCAAGCGAGCCCTTCTTGCGAGCTGGGCAGAAGCTGTGTTGGGAAAAAGGTGCAGGATACACAGAGCAGATGCTCCATCTACGCCTGCTTGTCTGTCACTGACAGACCAACAATAAGTCGACCATATACGGCACTTGCGAAGTCTCCACATGGACTAGCCGGACGATGAGGATTAGGTTTCATGCCGAAGCTTTCGAAATTGGACCAGCTGCACGAAGTCAGTGAACATGATTCTCAAGCATGCAGCATGCATGCATGACACGACCTCGGAGAAGGCTAAAACAAAGCCCCAGGCTGGCATCGTTCATCACCGAAAGCGATTGTGCCCGCCACACTTTCATGCATGCACCGTTTCGGATAAACCAATGGTCGCATGGCCAGTGCATTCCAGCGGTTTGAATTGTTGCGGCGCAAGCAGCTCACGCCAACGGAGCCTTCACTCAAAGCTGAACGGGTTTTCTGCCGCACGTTTTTGTAGAGCCGTGTTTTTGCAGGTTCTCAGCTTTCGTGGTGCTGGTTGGGCACGCAGGCATGCCTCCTGCGCTTCGCCGTTCCGGGTGGGCAGCCCCTCGGTGGCTATGACCGGACAGCTCCCACAGGACTCTCGGGACTTCGCACGAGATGCCCTGGATTGATGCGGCTTGCCCCATCTGTGGACAGGCGTCAAGGTGCAGCTGCTGAGCCAGGACGGTTCGAGCTTGGAGAAGTCTTATTCTCCGGTCTCGCATCCGTCTCAGGCAGGGTCGGCTCTAAAGTGCCCAATTTTGGGGGCCCTGGTACTGGCAGGTCGGGTTCTTTGACTTGCTTGTGCGCGCCTATCCTCCAAGACCTGGGGGCGGGCTTGGTGCATATCTCTGTGGCTTGAAGCCAGGGCAGGCTGCCCTCATGAGCCTTGTCCTGAATACGACCCTTTAGTGCCACTTCTAAATCTTTGAAGCAGCATGTTTCGGAGACCCTCCGAGGAAAGTGAAGCCCGATCCTTGGCAGAGGAGGGGCGCAGAGTTTCGTCTCGAGGCCTTGGGGGTCCTTCGGAGCTCAGGAAAGCTTCAGCAGCCTTTGCGGAGCTCCGCTGCGTCCCGGCCGCTGGGATCGGCTGGGCCTCATAGCGGCCGGCACGGGTCTGGCACCCCTGCTGCAGGTCGTCCCTGCCCCAATCACAGAAGCGGATCCAGTGCGGATCTCTTTGACTGCCACTCTAGGCCCGGGAAGCTCTTTCATGGAGGGACGCCACCCGACGCTTGGCCTGCAAACGTGGCAAGCGCCTTTCGCCAGATTTTGCCAGCATGCTTTGTCTCCCATGGAAATGAGCACCCAAAATTGTTTCTTGCTGATCTGGCTATGGGTTCCGAGTGCGGGCGGATGTGGAATTGCCCAGGACTCTCACTGGTTTTGGCCTGCCGCAGCGAATCCGAAATCCTAATGCGTGAGGCAGGGAAAGGCAGGCTGCTTGCATCAGCTGTGCCTGAGTCAGCCATGCCAGGAACTTGAGCTGCTGGTTCAGAATCCCGCAATCCGCATCTCGTACCAGCTGAGCAAACCTGGACCCGGATGGTTCGGTTCACAGACATACAGTCAACTTGTCAATAGTCGAGACGAACCGCCATGACTGATGTCAGGCCCTCCGATTGCAGTGGCCGCCTGTCAAAAGCCGTGCTAGAACAACGTTTGCCTTCGCCAGACTCTCGCGGTGCCCTCAGCCGATAAGGTTGATGGCTTCGTAATTTCCCGACAACGACACACATTGACATGCAGGTGATTTGTGTTCGCAAAGTCTCCGAAGCTGTCGCGCGCCAAAGCATGACAATGTATGTGTGCAGCCTTGCAGCTCGAGCAGCACGTCTCGCCCGACTGTCTTTGCCTCGACGTTTGAGTTTCACCTTCAAAGAAATTGAAGTTGGACACGCCTCTTTCCCAGCCACACCATGTTGGTGTCTCTTCGTGGGGCATCACATGCCCACGATATTCTCAGCAGTACATCTAGGAGGTCGAGGGAGTGGTCCAGCTACAGGCTCCAAGGCAACATCATCGGAAAAGGCGCAGCTGGCAGCCTTGTTGAAGCTGAGAAGTTATGTGACTGTCGCTACAGTGGAGGAGGCCATCTCACCTGTCTTGGAGAAGTGGCATGCCCAGCCGGCAATGGCCACACACGTGCTTACACGCCTGCGACAAGCAAGACGAGCTCTCACCGCATGGCAAGTGCTCCAGGTTATGCGGAGCAGTGGTATAGAGACGAACGTGATACACTACAGCAGTGTCATCATAGCATGTGAAAATCAGGGTGCCTGGCAGCTCGCTCTGGATTTGGTGGGCTCCATGGTCTTGTCTAGAATCCAGCATGATGTGATCAGCATGAGTTCCGCCATCAGTGCCTGTGAGAAAGCACTTTGGCGAAAGTTTCAGCCAAACTTGACTTTGCCTGCTTGAATGTTCTTGTCAAGTAGAAGGGTTTTTCATGTGTGTGTGTGTGTGCATATTTCCGGGACTTGACACTCTTAGCCTCACGTGCCTTCAGGCCCCCGAAAAGTGGCAATGCCGGCTGAAGATCAGCGTAGCATAGCGTAGCTGGCGTAGTATTACTACGTAGCCTAGGCGGCCGAAGCTGCCATCCTGCACAGGTTGGGCAGTGGGAGCGAGCTCTGGCTCTGCTTGAGACGATGAAGAGGCAACGCATTTGGCCAAACGTGGTGAGTTACAGTGCAGCGATATCTGCATGCGAGAAGAAGGGTGAATGGCAACAAGCTGTGCAACTGCTTGAGGCTATGCATGAGCATCGCGTGTCGCCAAATGATATTACTTGCAATAGTGCGATCAGCTCATGCGAGTTGCAGGGGCAGTGGTTGGTTGCTGTAGACTTGCTGAACATGATGCCCGCGCTTGGGGTTTCGCCGGATGTGATCTCTTTCAACAGTGCTTTGAGCTCATGCGAGGAGACGGGGTTCTGGCAACTGGCCTTGAATCTCTTGTCGGGGATGCAACAAGCACAGCTGGCTCCCAACATACGCACTTGCAACAGCGTAATGAACACCTTGCAAGCAGATGGCCAGTGGCAGCGAGCCTGGAGTCTGCTAAGCCTTATGAAATTGAAGGTCATCATTCCCGATGTCACCACCTGCAGCAGAGCCATTGACTGCTGCGAGAGGGGCAGCAGGTGGCAGCTCGTTGCAGCTTTGGTGTGCTCGATGCAGGAAGTAAACCTTGAGAAGACACTGATGTCAATGCATGCAGACCGTCTAAAATTCCTGAGCCGGCAAGGCTTGCGTATAAAACCGGTGTGCCTGTGTTTTGGAGCCTTGGGCCTTCACAACTGTCCAGAGAACCGACGCCATGTGCATCATGGCAGTGTCTGACCGAGGCTGTTTGATTCTAGTTTGCGGCACGGATGGCTTCGTTGAAAGCATGGCGGGGCCTGTCGAACGCGTGAAGACGCCGGATGGTCAGAAGAGGCCCGGCCGAGCCTCTGGAAGTCTGGGCCTGGGCTGTGAAGTTCCTTTTGAGGAAGATGCAGGGAAAGCTCGGTGGTTTGCTGGCAGAGTCTGGGCCTAAAGGAGAGAAAAGCCTCTGAGTAGCTCCTGAGATCGACTTGCTGCTGCATGCCTTCGTTGCACGGCTGAGGTTGGGATACACGTCGTCCCAGGTTCACAAGTTCTGATAGCTTTTGGGCGTGAGCAAAACTGCGTCCATTCCTGTGCGTACTTGATGTGCCAGCTGCGCACCCAATAAACCCCAAACCGTGCTGGAGCCTGTTCAATGCAACCGGGTGTTATTTGCAGGCCCTGTGTAAGTACTGGCCGATTCCGCATCTGCGACTCTCGCCATGCGAGGTGTGTATGTTGATGAATCCATCTCTTCGGCACGGTGTGGCTGGTGTGCCAGTGGTTAACTTGTGGTAGCATAACACCCTTTGCACAACCACACCGGTCGAACTCATGTTCGAGAGGAATTTTGTCTACTATCAGACACTTCGCCGCCAGTACAGTGCATACCTACATACGTACTCTAGGAGAAGCAGTACGTCGCCTGTTATTCGACGTTTTCTCTGTCTGTCCAGAAATATGTTAACATGTCCAGCATTCTCTGCACACCAGACTCACAAAACCCAACTCCAGATCTCGGTATTTTCTGCGGCGAACAGTGAACTTGAAATAGTCCTGCAGATCTTGTCGCTCCCTATTCTGCATTTTGTCACACAACCCAAAGAAATCTCACTTTCATAAACTTCCGGTCTTCCGGACTTCGAAAAGCAAGCCGTAGAGGAATGGACAGGAAGCAGCAGCACAAAGCAACGACAGCCACGCTAGACGATTTTGGCCAGTTGCAAGTGGTACCCATCAGCAACTCGTTCGAGGAAGCACCTCCACAACTAGATCCCAGCATCTTCGTAGATTCACTCTTGAGGGACACCGTGGAACTCAGAGATAACCCCACTCCCCTCCCCCCCCTCCTCGACTCATGATACTGTCGACGATGTCGTGGTGGTGCCCGCCTTGCTAGGTGTCGCTGTCTCAGCTAACAGGCAATGCAGCTACTTTCTGCTTATGCTGTCTGGTTCGGATATGGTGACAAGGTCATGGAGGCTGCAATGCATGGCACGGTCTGGCTGCCTCAGGCCTGCCGAGGGTAACTAGGCTCCGCAGCTTTGCACATTGGAACGTTCACGTTTGCGTTCAAGGGCCGGCTAGGCTGTAGGAATGATTGCCGATTGTCTTCCAGAGCATGTAGCAAGCTGGCAATGGCTTGATATGGCTTGATCTGCATGGCCTGTGGCTTATGGCGGCCATGATGAGCAGCGGGCATGTTTCCGCAACCTGGGGCCAAAGCTGGTGAAGCGGAGCTAGATGTCGGACTCCAGGTTCTCGCCTTCTATCACGCCAACCTACACCCTCGAGGAAGTCGGTTCGTGCATGTTTGCACGCGCAACCGCGAGTCTCCATTACTAGGCCTTTCGTCGGGCTGGCTGCGAGGACGGACGCTGCAAAGAGCTGATTGCTCCGGTCGGATCCTGGTTCGCTTCGCTGGCCCGTTTCAAGACCCACTGCTCGGCCCAGCAGAGACCTTGGATATTTCGGTGCCCTGCGCTTTGGTGCGGGCAGCCGATTCTGTCGGATTTGCTGATGAAGGAAGCAGTGCAGGAGCAGCGACCTCGACGAACAGCACCTTGCTGCCCAAACAACGTCCGCTGCTGTCCATACTGTTGATTCGTTGCTGGGACTATCGAGCCATGTCCACTTGGTCAGACTTTGCTGTTGCAAACGACGGAATGCTCCGGGACCTGCTAGACGGGGAATGTGGGATTTTTCCTTCTCTAGCGGGGGAGTTTGAGGTTTACACTGCCTTTGTACGAACATCGACAGACCTGAAGATCCTGTCCGAGCACTGGGCACAGGCAGTCCTGGCAGGGCAGAACCAAGTTGTCTGGTACTTTCTCTGGCCCTGTCAGAATGCAGATGCAGACGTTTCTTCAGGGTGCGTCAGGGAGCGGGATTTCTTCCATCTGCAGCGGCGTATGGAGAGGGTCGGCCTCCGCAGCGGCTGGCCCCACCCTCACATGTTGTACGAGCAGCTCGCTGGAAAACTGTGGGTTCCGCAGATGAGCTTGAACAGGGACTACCGGATCCCTCCGACAGTTCGGGTTCATCATGCTGATGTTCGGCGGAATTCGCATTCTGCGGCGGCTCAAGCAATTGATGACTTGGTTCGGCTTCGAGATCATGTCTGGAGTGGCAGCTCCACAAGAGATGTATCGAGCTTTCGTGGGGTTGCGAAGCTGGGCTTCAGCTGGCAGGGTGATGACGTGGTCCCGTTTGAAGGAGCGAAGAATTTGGCAGATGTGCTCTGCAGATTGCTGGAAGGACGAGGCAATGAGCAATTGAGCTGCATTGCGGCGTGTCTGCATGCAAGACAGGGGGTATTTTCCATGTGTAGGATGTGTGGAAGTGTATCTTGCTATTGCAAGCATTCGGAGGCCACCAGCTGTAATCAGTGGAGCCAGCACGACGCAAGTTTTTTCGAGCACGTGCCTTGTTAAGTTTCAGAATGGTCTGCCAAGGTCCAGGAGCTTATTCCGAATGCAGTCTGCGAGCATCGAGTTCTGTGTTTCCACGATGCCGCAGTGGGCAAATGGGCTTTTTGCCGGGAGCGGCTGTGGATGACCATGAAGCCTCCGGGCTCCCACCACAAGCATCAGGCCGATAGTCGGGGGCCAATGCAAGTTCCCAGCCCTGACCAGCATGGGCCAGGATGTCCTTGAGGTGACGGATTTTCGCCTCACTTCGGCCACGGTGTTGTCGCGGGACCAGGCAGGGCATCAGAGCATGGGGGCCCTGGTTTTGGGTTTGAGATTTCCCTTTGAGGCGGCTGAGCAGCTCTTCGAGGGAAGCCGTGAGATGGTGGAGGTGGTCGAGCAGGAAGCCGCCCCTCGGCTCCAATCGTCCTTCATCCACTTCGTATCACGTCATCCTTTTTCATCCGATCTTCAATTGCCCACCTGAGGACATCTTGGTGGATCGCTGGCTGGCGTGGTTCCGCACCGAAACAACGGAGCCTCCTGCAGTCACAAGGTTGGACTTCCTAGTCTCGTGGCGGCCAGGTGCGAGGCCAACAGTGGCTTTGCCCAACACGGAAGCCGTCTTAGAGTTGACAGGTGGTGTCCGCCTTTGTGGGGCCATGTCAGGTGCATCCGGTATGCCCCGTTTCGAGTTGGGGTATGAGAGGTGGGGGTTTCCTAGCCTCCACTGTTGTAGTTTTGTTTGCCGTCGCCAGACTATCTCAGGTGTGGACCTGCGAAGTGTGTGAGTGCGGAGCTTCCCTGTGCTCCGTGGAGTGCGATGCACGAAACTGTGCCGCGCTGAACTGGGCCGTGGCTGAAGATCCCTCGGGTCGCTTTCCGTTGGCCATGCCGCGGATACGCCGCTCCTAGGCTTGCAGAATACGATCGGAAGCACCAGTCGGGCTGGCATTTGGGCTCTGTGCTGAGGGCCTCATTGTTCTCTGAGGCCAAAACATAGACTTTCCCACATTCATGTGCCGATGATGGCCTAAGAGCAAGTTGTGGTTTAGGTGCCTACATTGGAGTAGTGAAGCTTTCAGAGTCCGGTATCTTCTGCTTTCCCTAAGGAAACAGCGGATGGAAATCGTGAGGCATGCTGTCCATGCCGGGTCGCCTGAGCCCGTGGGAGAGAAATAGACAGCGCAGCAGCTTGCTTCCCTGGCCTTCGGACCCCAGAGACCCACTGAAAGCACGCTGCAAGTTCTCAGGACACGTTCCGGCTCCTGGGTCTCCTCCAGGCCTGGCCGTGCCCCTTTGTGTTGCACCACAGGCGTGCACCTGGGGGTTTCTGCAGGCAAAAGAGTTTGGGCCGCTGCTGCCCGCCCGCGCCCCAAAATGGGGCGAGCATTGCGGAGAGGGGGCAGACCTGATTCTCACCTCGTGTGCTCCGAAAGCCGAGGCAAGTTCCACTTGTCGAACTCGCTTTCAGGCCCGTCTAGCCTGTTTAGCAATCTCTGGGGGCCGATAGGACCCGGAAGGATTAAACCCTAACCCTAAACCCTAATAAACCCTCAGGTCTGACTGTGCTTTTTGTCGGAGGAGCCAGTGCGTGCTTTGCGGAGGGCCGAGGCCGATCCGAAATCTGGGGCACTGGAGGCTCCCTGCTGCGCTACCCAAGACCCCAATACCCCTTATTTAAGGAATATACTTTAAACTATAGGGGGCCATAATATTATGATTTAAGGTATATTCCTTATTCAAGGGGTGTTGGGTTCTCTGGGTACCGGGCGCCACCGCCAGTCGCTGTCTGTTTTTGATTGCTCCAGGAGATGGAGATGCGAGAGGCTCTTGGGATGGGTGGGGTTCCCAGAGACTCCAATACCCCTTAATTAAGGAATATACCTTAAATCTTATTAGGAATCCTACTATGATATAAGGTATGTTCCTTAGTTAAGGGGTATTGGCGTCTCTGGGTTTCGCAAGTTGGGACAGGTTGGAAGAATTTCGAAGCCTTGCGGTGTCGCTCTTGAGATCGAGGCGCTCAGGGACTTGCAAAGCCTCGTGGCAGAAGCACAGGAGGCGATGGGGCCTCGATCCATGTTGTGTTTCAGAAATCCACAGTTCATCCTCTCGATCAGCCATAGCCATCCCCATTTATCCATCCCTGGTGTGGGCAGGCCTTTCGGGAAGAGCCATGCGAGCCAGGGCTTCTGCCTGAGTGCCTTGCAGTGACTGAGACGACCCAAAGCTGAAGCCTCCTGAAGGTGGGAGTCCGCATGGCAGGCCTGCGGCCTGCGTCGCAGGCGAGCTTAGGCATCCCTTGCTTCGATGACTCTGAGGAGCTGGCGTCACTGGAGGCCACGCTGCAAACAGAGATGCCTTGTGCCCAGGCACTGCTTGGAGCCTCGACTGTGGGGGTCTCCACGTCTGTATTACGTAGCTGGCCTGCCTCGTAAGGCGATATGTCTACGCTCCGGATTGGGAGGTTGGAGATAGCACCAGCTTGACGCAAGCACGCATCTAATCTGTGCCGATGATTGGCAGATCAAGCCGGGAAAGCTGGTCTCAAGGAAAGGAACTTGGCTCAAACGGTCGCTTGGCTGAAGAGTTCCTTGTGTTCCAAAGTTGCGCTGCCTGGACCCTGTCAAGCCGTGAGATCTGTGGTACCTCGCGACCAGGACGGCGCAATTCTCTTGGGAACTGAAAGAGGCAGTTAGTTACCGTACTTAAAGGATCATGGGACTTAGTAAGTAGGGTTACAACATGTTATAACTAAGGTAACTATACTTATAACCCCAATTAGGGGACTTATAAGCTTACTTACTAAGTCCCATGATCCTCCAAGTAGAGGATCATCAGACCTTTGCACTTGGGATCTCTGGGGGCTTGTTCGCAGGGCGGCGAGCGAGCGGAGAAGCTCTACTTGCCAGCTGGGGTGTGCCACCTGGATGTGCTGGTAGGATGCCTTAACTCCGTCGGGTCCGGGCATGTTCGCGAGTTGTGGAGGTGGCGGTCCCTGTCCTTCAAATCGGAAAGGCGGCAAACCTGCGAACGAGGGTCCTGCAATGTCCAGCAGTCGGCAGGTGATCGACCAAGAGGAGCTCAAGTTGCACGACTGGGCAGAAGCCCGAGCATGAGCCACTCGCAGTGTGGGCGTGAACAACCGACCAGCTCCAGGTCTGCCAGCACTTGCGAGTCTGGATGAAGCCTGCAATCCTCCAGACTATCGAGGCAAGTTGCGCCTGAGACTGCAGCTCTTTGCAGCTTTCCGCTACTGCAGGCCAGGTACGGCACATGGTTCGTCTACTGGCCTCATTTCGAGGTCCCCGGTTCTCTGTCGCCACTCTGGACCTTTCCGCTGTCTCAAGACAATGCAACCTTGCATCTCTAATTCGCTTCTGCAGCTGTTAGGCTCAAGAACCAGAACCACGAAGCCAAAACTAGTCAAGCCCATTCTGCTTCGTCTGCTTAGCTGTTGGGCATCAGGTTGAATCCGCAGTCTAACCGGTCCATGCAAAGTCAGAAACTCTTGACAAATTCCAAGCTTCCATGACGACCGACAGTATGCATGTGGACACCCGGCCTGCCGGTTCGTTTCGTAGAGCGCTTGTTGATTGCAGGCCATACTGCTGTCGACTAGCCAAGGATGCCAACATTGCATCTAAGACGGAAGACACAGACGAGTGCCCCACCTCGCGGCAGTGTGTTTCCCCGAACGCGCCTTGAAGAAGATCGTGCCTCCAGGGTGGCGTTCGGCACGTGAATTGGAGGGTTTCTGCTTCTGAGACTACTCACACCTTCTTGCAGCAAAGTTCGGTTTAACATGCATTGTTTATGCATCTAGCCAGGCTCTTGCAAACCTTCAGCTGGGGTAGTCCTGCACGAATGATTCTGGAAGTTCGCTGTGCCTTGACCCAGGTTTTGAAGGCGTGTCCAATGCCCTCCAAGAACAATCAGAATGATGATGATTCAGATCCGGAGCTCCTGGATGCCTCCGGAGAAGGTGGGGCCAAAATTCGGTCTTTCTGAAACCAGTTGCAACCCGCCGTTTCTCTCGACCTCGCTTCATGGCAGGAGTGATTGCATTGAATACCTCGCCCACCGGCTGGAAGCGCTTTGTCAGGCCATTGGCGAATTGTGCCTTGGTGAGATGAACATCATCCTGATACGGAGTCGTGGGTCGAAGGTTCAAGTTCTTTCCCTCCAAACGGCGAGGCATTGCTTGCGGCGATGTTGAGACGGAGATGAGTGGATTGAAAAGGAACATCCGCTCGAAGAGCAAAAGCCTCGTCGCTTGCTTGACTAGGGCTTTTCTCAGCCTCCGTGTGGTGTGTGTGTGTGTGTGGACGGCCACGCAGCTTGATTGCCTTTTGGGGTCTCGAAGCTTTGGTTGAAACCGTGTCTCCTTTCAGGGGCCAGCTGATCAGCATGGGGATGAATTGCTGCTCGAGACCCCTCCCTCACATTTCTTCTTCTGTGCGTTGGTTGCAATGCCGAGGAAGCTTGCAGGCACAAGCTTCGCGAGAGGGATTCTCACGCGACGCTGGTGGAGGAACAGCTGGAAAAGCCGCTCGGCCAGTTACTGTCACCGGGAAAAGGACAAAGCAGGATTCATGGAGAAACCGTATGGGACATTATTCGCCGATTAATTTCCGCTTGCAACCAAGCAAGGACCATGCAGGAGCTGAGCTCTGTGAAAGAAGAACTGGAGATGGAGCGGCGGAGGACAGCGATGACTCGGATCTTTTAATTATACTTCAATAAGCATACATGTTCGGCCGGCTCGGAGCATGCAGAAGCTGCAAGAGCTGAGACGGTTAGCAGGACATCCAGTATGTCATCCATGCTCCTGTCTGATTCGGTCAGCCAGCAGAAGTTGCAGGAGCAGGTGCCTAGAGCTCTGCACATGCACAACATTGCAAAACGATGCAGAACCACATTGCAGCTTGAGTTGTGTAGTGCGAAACTCAGGTGAAGCTTGCCGAGGAGCAGCTGAGGGATGCGCAGCAGGAAATCGGCAGATTGTCTTCGAGCTTACAAAACGAAAAGTCCGAGCGCCAGAACTTGGCGGAGGCACTCCAAGTGAAGTCCTCAGAAGCAGAGGTTTGCTCGGAGCGATTGGAAAGCACGAGAGGGGAGCTGAAGCGCTGCTCAGATGAACTACAGGATCTTCGGCGTAGTCTGGAAGATTCCAACCAAACTTCCACTCGGCTACACGGCGAGCTTCAAGAGCACAGCCAGCAGAATGCCAATCTGAAAGAGAGATTGCAGCAAAGAGAGGTTGAGTTGAAAGAATGCGAGTCTCAAGTGCACGAGGTCTCGTCTGAACTCAGCCAGACTAGCCGCAAGCTGACTCAAACGGAAAGCGAGCGTCAGGTAATTGAGAGAAGACTTGCAGAGACGAAAGCTCAGCTTGACCAGTACGAGGACAGATTGACATCCCTTTCGGCCTCCCTGGAGGCTGCACAACGAGAAACCGCCTCGCGGTCCAAGCGAATGGAATTGACTTCCATGGCTGCCGAGGATTTCAAGGGCCACCTGCAGATCTCCAAGGCGCGAGTGCGACACCTGGAGGAGCAGGCACAAAAAACGGCCGCACTCCTGGAGACGAAGCATTTAGAGCAGCAGCGCCTGAAAGAGCAAGCAGCGGCAGCAGAGGAGCAAGTTGAGGCCTGTCAGGGCAAGCTCGCATCACTGACGTCTTGCCTGGACCAGGAGCAGTCGCAAAGCGCGGCCTTGCGTCAAGAGTTGCAGAATCGAGACCAGCAGATCGAAGATCTGGTCACAAGAGCAAGCTCTGCAAATACGGAGGTGGAGTGCTTGGCAGAAGCGAAGGGTTCGCTGACGAAAGCTCTGAAGGCTCAGGAAGATCAGGTGGAGTGCTTGACTGAAGAGAAGGGTTCGCTGGTTAGATCTCTGAAGGCTCAGGAAGAGGAGAACGAAGAGCTCAAGTCTCAAATTAGTGCAATGAGCCAGCAGGTCTCGAACTACGAGCGTCGGGTTACGGAGCTCTGCGAGACGCTGTCGGAGACGCGGGTCGAGAACGCTCAGATGGCCTTGGGCCTGGAGAGACGGGCTATGGAGGCCGAGGAGTTCATGGGAAGGATTCGGGAGGAGAGGAGGCAGGTCGCCGACTTTGAACAGAGTCTCCGTTCCATCCGCGAGTCCTTGCACCGAAGTCTCACGGACAAGGATGATTTGACCGTGGAGCTGGAGAGAACGTGTCTCGAGCGCGAGGACCTCACGCAGCAACTGCTGCGGGCACAACAGAAGCTCGTGCAGCTCGAGGAAGAGATCGGCAACTCCTTCCTTAAAGCGGCCGAAGACTCCAAGCAAGTCCGCGAGAGCTCAGCACAGGCAACTGGACTGCAAAGCGCATCTGCGGTGACTGGGTGAGGGTTTAGTTTTTGATATCATGTCTGCGAGCACCATGGGTTCCACCCACCTTTTCCGGAGACGCCCGACTGATCCCCGCACAATCGGGCAAACTCATGACAACTCGCAAGATCCGCACTCTTGCATAGTCTGTTTTCGCATCGTTTGCTTGTAGTGTCTGAAGGAAATATGCCAGTGGCAGATCACTGCCGAGATGGCATATCGGCAAACAACGGAAATAGCTCTCCAGCTGGATAACTGGAGGTCTCAGTACAGTCACTTTGCTGCACAGCACGGACAGTCTTGAAACTCAATCGTTGCAGCGATGCCGCGCATCACCGCCGCCGCCGGCACGCTGCAGGTAGCCTTTTGAAGGCGTTGCAGGAAAAGCAGGTGGATGCTTGGACAGCAATGCTTCAAGTTCGTGCTTCCTGAAGCAATCGCAGACTTTCACTCGGCTGAAGAGTTGTTGTGCAGCCCCCCTGAGTTGTTCACACTAATGCAATCGCAGCACACTCCTCAAGCAGGTGCAAATCGTGTTGCAACCTCCAGCTTGGCCAACTGGGAAGCGCAGTGATTGACGCACCTGGAAGACGTTATAGGACCACTATGAACTGAACTAGGCGAAGCAATAGATGACTCCAAATGCTTGACAAGAATCGCGCTTAGTGGTGAGTTGTGGTGATCTCTGACCGTCGCAATGGGGGAACTGGTAGAGCTCAAACTTGGAGGGCGAAGTAGCCAGCAAGGCCAAATCCGAAATCGAGGGTGCTTCTGAGCTTCTGCTGCAAAGGCCATCGAGAAGTTGAACGGTGAGCTGGATGATGCGAAGAAGCGCCTGGCAGAGGTGGCCATCGTTGCACCTTGGACGTGGACTTGCGGCCAGTGTCCGTTGACGCGGCTTCCGTGCCTACTGTAGCGGCCTGTATGTCCGTTGCTTCAACCTGCGAACCTAGAAAGTAAGGACGATGCGGAAATGGCGACTTTGTGACTGTGCTTGAAGTGTGCTTGATCTCTTTTCGGTCGTGCTTTGGGAAGGTGCCTTGATCCGTTTCGGACGGGCGCCCTCTGTGGTACCTAGGAAGGAGCAGCTCACACAAGCCAATGCAAGACTCAATGCCTTGACTGCCGCGGTCGACCTGAAAGACACAGAGCCTCGTGCTTGTATCATGGTCCGTCCGTCGGATGCCGCTCACCAGTGTTTTCTAGTCTGGTTGCATGCGGTCGGAAGAGCTGCAACATCGGACGCTGCAAGAGCTCCGAGGAAATGCAATCAGTTTCGCGGGAGCTCATGAGGAAGGGCATGCAGGCCGAAGATTATCTGGGCCAGGTGACAAACATGAAGGACAGGGTCTTCTGGTGTTGCAGCACCTGACTTGAAGACATGTTCAGAACGTGCACTGCTCGAAGGACCGCCTCGTGCAGTCTGAGATGCTCCGCCTGCATTCAGAAGCGGCGTGCCACTGCGTCTCGCGTGTTTTCTTGCGTCGGCTTGGGCTTTGGAGTTTTGGTGAGTGTGATGTAAAGTGTTGAATATGGCATTCATCTCGGACTTGCTTGCATTCTAGCCGTGTGCGGTCCAGCCTTGTGTGACTCAGGGTGCATTGGGTAAAACAGGGTATAACACAGGGGCCGAGCAAATCTCCGAGACTGCAGGATTGACCTGAGCCGATATTCCTCGGAGCTCACAGTCGCACGCATGGAGAAGGACCCTCTGTGACCTGCGGCCAGAGAGGTGCTCGTGGCCCGTGGCGTTGCATCGCAGGATTCGTTGGCAACCAGCTTGGAGAGAAGTGGAGAACATGCTAAAGCACTGACTGGAGAAATGCAAAGCATGATGCCTGGATGCGCTTGGCAAGGTCTGCATGTTATCCTTTTCGATATTTTCGATCTCTTTGTGTGCCCACGCGTGACTTTTTTCTCATCAATTCAAGGAAGACGCAGCTTCAAAAGTGCGAACAGGACGCGGCCTCAGACGCGTGTCTTCGCCAATACTGCACACGCATTGGGCAGTTGGCTCTACTTCAGTACAGCCTAGGAGACGTCCATATTAGACCGATGCGGATGGCTCAGTGAAAACACTTGGGGGTTTCCGATTATTAGGGGTACCTTATTTAGGGGTCCTTATAATAGGGATCCTACTATTTAGGGTACTATATTAGGGTCCCCTAATTTCGGGAACCCCCACTTGTCATTGTGCCTGCACTTTGTCTCTGAGTCTCTGCTACTAGTACCTCTCCAACTCAGGCCTCGAAGATCGGCAGTTGCTTGGAGAGTTGGGGGAAGAGTTGTGCTCACGATCTCTTACGCGTTGAGTGCAGTGCAAGTTCCCGAGATCTTTGAAGGCTTCAGAATGATCTGCTCTCTCGCCAGCTCTCCACGAAGGAGCAAGCTTATGTCATGCCACGCCATGTCGCAGAACATCGAAATCACATGGAAGGTAGTCTAGTAGGAGAAGCGTGATTCCTCTCCTCATGGCGCAGCAGAGAAAGTCAAAAAATCGCAGCCGGTCACAGCAGTACTTGTATGTACTTGTACTGTAGGGTCGCCGGAATGCCTCAGTGTGGTCAAGCTGACTAACGGACTAAAGTGCACTTCTCGAACCGTTATCAGAGACCCGAGAAGGCGCTGAAACTCCTTGGAACGGGCTGTCTTTGGGGCGCTGGTTCTCTGGCACATGATGTGTGGGCAATAAGAATCTCCATGTCGCCATCGCTCGGGGCACTCGAAAGTGAGAACCCTGACGCAAGCATGCTCTTCACGAATGGCCACAGGCTTCGGTCTCAACTCCGAAAAGGGGCCCTTAGCCTGCCTGCAACCACATGCGAATCAAAGGCGACAAACGGCGATTTTCTGCACCACCTCAGCAGGTGCTGGAGGTTGCAGTTTGGCCCCACGCGAAACCCTGATTCGCAAGCGGCAGTTTTCTCATGTCTGTACGCCAGCGACCATGTGGAGGACTCGAGGATCGAAGATCTGAGTTGCGAGCTCACCGCTCTTCGTATCCAGCGGCAGGACAGCGAAAGGCAGGGCATCTCCTTCAGATCCCATGAGTATCTCAGTATCTGAGTACCTAATCGGACATGTTGCATTGCGAGAGTTCTCAGCCAACTTCTTAATTACTCATCTTGCTGCACACGGCACTATGTAGCAAGCTGGCACTCGTAAGATATTAGGCCTACCTGCCAAGTATTGCCGTGGTATTGCTCCTTATGTTCCCCGTGGAATGAGGGTCTGCATGCCAAATGGATGGTCTTGATATGTTGTGATGCCACTGACGTGTGTCAATGGATGGGGTGCAGGGTTAGAGACAAGCATCTCTTGAGAGCCTGTCGGCGTTTTCAGCGGCTGGCGCTGGTCCTTTTGTTTACAGGCCCTTAGTGTCAAGAAGCATCTCGGTGAGTCTGTTTGGCGCTGGAGACTCACAGCGGCACCCATCTGCATTTTGCAAGTTCAAGCATCGTTACGTACAATGCAGGTGCGGTGTAACCCGAAGATTGGGGCAAGATCAGCGCTTGCGAGGGGATTTCGGGTACAGCCCACAAGACGGTTTGCGAATGGTGGGTGTTGCTGAAAAGATCATGACACGTGGGCTGGGGTGGTAGCCCAAAGATCAAAAGTAAACTCGGAATGTGGATCTCGAGTTCTATTCGACACGGGGCTTCACTTCATGCGATAAGAAGAGACCAGCATATACATGGAGGTTCGGAGCGAAAATATGCTCCTGTAGTATACGTATTTGAAACCGCAGGCCTATCCTGAAAATTGAGCTTGCGCGACGTGGAGACTACAAACAGCCTCCACACGAGTGATCCCGGGTAGCCGGACAAAAAAAGAATGATTAGAGACCATACTGGTTGTACCAACAGAATGGAGTTCGAAGGTGATTCAAATCCACGTGTAGAGAATGAAACGTTGACCATTGCCTGCCGGCCAGGGAAGCCACACAGTCACTCGAGGTTGGCAGCTCAATCGCTCGAACGTGCAGACCGTGCAGAGACGCAGAATGATGCAGATGTCCAGGTGATGCGCTCAACCTTACAAGAGCAGCTGCATCAAAACGAGCTGCTGTCAGCTGAGCTGACCAGGAAACGAATGGATTACCAGGACCGACTGTCCAGGTTTGTTTGTTTGATGCTTCATTGCGAGTGTCCGGGCAGTGCACCTGAAGGCAACATCGGCCGAAAGCAGAAGCTTGTGCCCACCTCAGGTGCAAAGGAGACCGTCCATTCTTCTAAGCTCCCTGACATAGCGACATGAGCCTTCTGAGAGTGTTTTGGGATGTGTTTGGAGTCTGGAGAGCTTGGCTTCTGAGGCGCGACGAGCTAACGGCGGCCCTGGAAGCCAAGAGCAATGCCAGCTGCCAGCTGGAGGGCCTGAAAGAGCTGGCCAAGCAGCTGCAGGCCGATACGCAACGTCACGGTGCCACGATGCCTCGTGCCATCGGGCAGAACCAAATAATGTCACCAAGATCCATCAGGGATTCGTCGGCACATCACAGGATCGATTATTTGGAGCGGGAAAAAACGCAGCCGCACTTTCAAAGCGCCATGGCGTTGACCCGGCTGAGACAGAAACGTGTCTGTGTGCTGCCATTGGGACAGGAAGAGCTGCGCTGCTCGCAGCAGAAGCACGTGACGATGGTCGAAGAGCTGGACAGCATGACCAACTCGAGCCTTGGCGTACAGTATCTGCGGCCGAGGTGCACTGCAGTCCAGTCCAGCTCTAGGGGCACTGCAGAAGCTGGTTTGGCTGGCTTACAACCGTTCTTATCATTGGAGTCATGAGTGCGCGGAATGCACCCATTGTCCTTTTGTCTAAGGAATGCGCATCTCCAAGCCAAAGCATCGAAACTGGCACAGGTTTGCAAACAACAAGCAAACGAGAAGGAAGCACTCTCGAACGAGCTTCGAAGCACTGCTGCTTGGCTCTGGGTGTGCTGCACACTGCGGGAGCGGATAGTGGTGGATTGTAGCCAGATTCTTCGTTTTCTTGAAGTATTTGGACAACCTCTGACAAGTGCTCCTAGTGAACTAGGGTGTTCTTGCGTGTTCGTTGCTATGTCGTTCGACAGTCTGAGGTTCCTTGCACTTGTTGGGAGCCGCAGTGCAGAGAAGAGAATGAGAAGTGTAGAGAGTCTGTACCCGCGCGACTGCACGCGCGAGTACGCTCGAGCACAAACCTCAGCGACCAGATCGCGTGCAAGTAGTCGTGCATGGACCAAGCAAGCCCTCCAAACGCTCTTACAGCGAGAACTCCGGCGTCAACGGTAGCCTGCAGTCATTCGCGTGCTGCTTGCGAGAGAAGATGCAGCCTTGCACTCCTCACTTCCAGGTAGGCAGCGTCCAGCACCTGCAATCGCAGCTGGCGAAGTACAGACAGCACCTCAAGGAGAACCAATCCAAGATAGATTCATTGACTAGCGCCGTGGCTTACAGCTGATGCTGACATACGCTGATCATAGACAGCCCTCAAGCTACTACCTGATTTGTTTCTTCGAGCTGCCTGAGCCAAGGAAGCTTGAAGCGGGAGGTGCAGAAGAAGGACGAGGCGGCAACACGATGCGCTGAACTGCTCTGCTCACATCCTTCTATGTGTATTGAAGCCTGGATTGGCAGAGCGCCTTTGCAGAACATAGTTGAGACCTCGAGGGATTCTGATTCTGGTGCGTGGGAGTCTTAGTTATTTGCTGGTTCCGTGCTGGTGCAGATTCATCGTCGCGTGCTGCGGCATGTCTAAGGTACGCACTTTCCGCGACACGGCTCCTGGTCACGCACTAACTACGTAATCTGGGTAGGTGTCTATATTCCTGTGCTGACTTTTGTGTCTACATTCTACATGATAAGCCCAGTGGCAGCATCTTTCGACGAAGTCCGAAAGCGAAGGACTCCTGGCAGCTGGTCGCGGCGCCGGCTTCATTGGAGCTGAAGGTTCGGAGTGCTTGTTTTGTGCTTGTGCCCGCGATGTCAGGCGGGAAGTGGCTACGAGGAGCGTGTCATCTTAAAGGGCGGTGAGACATCGGGAAAAGTGCCAGCGATATCTGGAGAGGCGTCGACTTGCACCCACCATGCATCTCAAGTTCTTGCTGGCCAATGCTGTAGATGGAGCTGTTTGCTTGAAGTTCAGTTCCTGTTGCTGTCGCCACTGCACCGTTTTTCGGCAACAGACCCCCTGCATCATCATCAATGCCGCGAGAGGGCGCAAGGCCTGAAGTTCACTTGCGAGAAAGAATCGTCTGGCGTTGAAATTGGTTGTAGTCCACGGCAGCTGTTTGAGAAGGACCGGAAAGACGATGACAAGGTTCCGGTGAGGGTCTACAATGCAAAGAAGCCTGGAGCGGTGGTACTGGGCTCAGACTTATTCAGCTGCGGGCCTGTAGCCAGGACGTCTGAACCCGACGAGTTTGAGTGCTTGTATGGGAGTTTCCGAAGAGAAGGGGTGCCTTATTTTGGGCTCCTTGTAATAAGGAACCTACTATATGGAGTACTATATTAGGGTCCCCTATTTTCGGAAACCCCCGTAGGGTCCGATGGATGCTTCAGCTCAGGCGGTGCAGAAAGCAGCGCCGCACATGGAGGTGCAGATAAGTCAAGTCACAGTCTTTGACAAAATGCGCCGTTTGTTCTCAAAGACGTCTGGCTGCATTTTGCCACTTGGGTTTCGCAGAAAATCCAGCTCGCCTTGGCAGTTTGCCCAAGGACGGTAGGCATCAAAGCTGCATGTCATAGCCGGCCACAAATTTGCATTCGAAAGTGTCAGCCAGACATGCAAGATCAGGGCTGGATGATGAGAGTGCTACAGCCTGTTAAGACGTGGAGCGGAGCCAGCTTGGTCATAAACGTGACCTGAGGAACAAGTTGGTTTACGACCAGAACTTTGGGATAGTTCGTCCATATCCCGACTACGCTTCTACTTCTTGTTCTTCCGAGGCACTGGGAGCGAGTACAGTTGTAGAAACTAAAGGTATGTAAGAGTGACCGATCCAGCAAACTCTGAGACCCAGCAGGCCTCGTTTGATTGAACTGTCGACTGTCGTGGAGCTCCTGACGAAGCTTTTGCGGATTCCCAATGGAAAGTGCAGCGACACGGCGTGCGTCGCGCTTGCCTTCTCTCTTGTTTCGGGTTGCAGTATGCCAGACCTCGGCAAATTTACCAGATGTGGCTTGCAGCAGTGCCCAATGTGGCTAGGATTTCAAGATGTGTCTCCGGGCAAACCGACCCCAAGAGCTTAAGCAGAGAAGTGGGAGGCTCTGGAGCATATCATGTGAGCACTCTGAAGCACTGGAGTTGGATTTGCTTTCTCAAATTTTCAGTTGTGCTCTCGCGAAGCGGGGCCTCTTAGCGGAGCTTAGTCTCCTGATCGTGACTGTTGCAGCTCCCAAGGGCATCATCCAAGTGAAGGTTGACGCTGGCCCTGGGGAGAACACTCGAGCCGTGAGGCTACTTGAGCGGATGCTCAGGGACTTGACACTGCTTGATGGTCATGGGTAGTTTTCTAAATTAGGGTCCCTTTTTGGGTCCTTATTATAATACGGCACCTATTATTTAGGGTACCCCATAAGGGACCATAATTTTGACAACTACCCTCATGAGAAGGATGCCTTCCTTGGCCTGTGTCCAGGGTTCCTTGTCGGAAGTCCCTTGAGTGTCCTTGTAACCTGCTGCCCACATATCAAGAGGCGCAGGTGGACTCTTGACTGGCACAGCCTGCCCCTTCTTGCAGCCCGGCCCTCCCAAGCGTGGTGTAGTGTAATGTGGGGACATTCTCTGCAGAAAGGCGGTATTTGAAGTCTTCGCGGGGGCCAAGGGCTCTTACCTCGGGTCGACCAGCTTGTCATAATGTCTTGCTGGCTGTTGGCAAATGCCCAAGGTCCGAGTTGACGGTCATATCCTAGGATGCAGGATTTACGTTTCTGCCGGCATGGACTTTTCACCACACATGTCCGTCCTCTAGCTGTTTTGCAGCTTTTCCGGCATCCACCGCTCATGGAAAACGCCGCGCCAACAGCCCGTGCTAGAAGTGCTTGGAAGAGTCTTCTCAACCGTTCAACTGTTTCAGGACAGAGGCCTTTCTATCGTTCCGGCGGTGGACGGCAAAGGGATGCTTTGCGAGTCTAACTGTCTAACTTGTTGAGAAATTTGCGGTGGCCTTCGTGACTCGTTCCTGATGTCTGGGGAGCTCTTGCAGGACACCTGGCTGAAAAGGAGCTGCCAAATGAGTGGCGAATTGCAGCCGTTCGAGTTGATGTATGCTCCTCGAGGTGCGGACAACTTTGCTTGTGAGCTCTGGCATGTCTCGCATGATGAAAGAGGCCTGCCGATCAATGTTGCCCAGCGGCCAGCCATCGTGGACGAGGCCCTGAGGGTGTGATGCGCCGCCGTACAGAAACAACGGTCGGAGCACCATCGCGATGAGCCATGCCTTCGAGAGATGTAGCGACCAATGGAGCAGGATTGGGAAAAGGGTCGCCATCAACACATCCACTTACACAGAAAGGCTCGGGAAGCTGTGGCTCGAGTCTGGACGTTGCCAACAGCAACAGCATCTCTGACTGCACAACTGCATTTCGACCCCAGGTTGTGCTTGCTTCGCCCCCCATCACCATGAAGCAGGACGCGGGCGTGGGTGTGCGTGCGAGTGTGTGTGTGTGTGTGTGTGTGCGTGTGTGCCTGTGTGTGTCCGTCTGTGTCTTCGTCTGTGTCCGTGTGCGTGTCGTGTTCCTTATTAGCCTGGGGCATCCAGAAGGAAGTGAGAAAGAATGGGGAGCCGCGGAAACGTGCTGCTTGCATGCGAGCATGTGTGGATTCTTTCTAAGGAGGATTTCTCTAATCGTGAAATGGCGCTTCCAGCACTAATGCTGGTTGCCAGTTCTTTACCGAGCCGACCCTTGCATGGCCAAGAGGTCAGACAGTATGTTGCAGGCGAGAAATAACCGGAACAAAACGAGGTGGAGAGATCTCAGTCCGATCAGTTTAGCTTTGCAACAATTCGGGGGACCTGGCCACCGGGATGCCGGGGTGTTTAGGATCCTGATGTGAGTCGCAATGTTGTTAGTACATGCTCGAATAACATCCCGTTCACCTACAGCCAGCATCATGAGATGAGCGAAGGGGCATGAGCAAATCTTTTGTGTGACTGTATCGCATCAAATTTACGGTCGTTGATTCGAGAGGTATGCTCGTTGTGTTGCCTTCTCGTCGACAGTACTTGGCGACTGGAGGAGCAGTACGACATCCTTGTGGGCCAGCGTGTGCAGCTTACTGAACGGCCGGCCGACATGTCAGTAAAATTACTGCGAAGCTTCAGGAGTTGCGCAATTCCTCAGCTTTTGCAATGCCCCTGCCACATGTGCTGGCGACGTGTTCATATGTACTCATGGCCTGTTGCTACGGTGTCATATCCACACGATAGCTCCGCATGCTCGGATGAACTCGAGCCATGGCCATGCCTCCCAGCTTCCGCTTGGTGAGCGGCAAGGCCAGTTCGGAAGAATCGGATCCTTTTTTCAGGGTTTGAGACTTGGGTCGAAGCCCCGAAGCCCGTCGCGTGGGCTTGCAAATTGCGGCAACGTTTTCCCCCCCTCTAGCCGAGGGGTTCAAAAGAGGATCCTTTGCCGCACAGACCGGCCTTCAACAGGGCGAGCTTGCTCGCATGATTTGGGCAGGCAGAATCCAAGGCCTAAAGCCAACCGCACCCACACACGCGAAACGGAGCACCCACAAAAGAGAAGGCCTGAGACCCAGAGCCCGAACAAGGGGAGAGAGTGATGATGCCCGCACCTTCCGTTCTCTATGAGCGAAGGCCTTGCCGGTCTCCGACAGCGCTGTCTATGTCGGTGACGCGCGGCTGCAGCTTGCACGAGCCTTGCAGGTGGCGCCCGCACGCCGCTTGGAATTGGCATACGACCCGATCAAAGCAGAGGTTCTGGAAGCCTCACTTCAATGCGTTAGGCGGGTGGATGGAGGGATATGGAGGGGCCCAGAGAACCCAATACCCCTTAATTAAGGAATATACCTTAAACTATAGGGGCCATAATATTATGATTCCAGGTATACCCCTTAATTAAGGAATATACTTTAAACCTTATTATGGGTCTTACTCTAATTTAAGGTATATTCCTTAACTAAGGGGTATATTGGGCTCTCTTCTTCAATAGGCCTTAAATCGTCATAATATTCTGGCCCCTATAGTCTAAGGTATATTCCTTAATTAGTCTATTCCTTAATTCAGGAGTATACCTGACATCAGAATATTATGGCCCCTATAGTCGAAGGTATATTCCTTAATTAGTCTATTCCTTAATTAAGGGGTATATTGGGTTCTCTTGGGGGCCCTAAACCCTAAACCCTAAACCCTAAACCCTAATCCCTAAACCTAGTTCGCTTCAGGTCTTCAGCTCCTGGGCCCCGCGCTGTTGGAGGATTCCCTTCCTCTTGCCGTTCTGCTCGTGGATGTCCAGGCAGCGAGTCGCCTTAGGGTTTAGGGTTTGGAGTTTAGAGTTTAGGGTTTAGCGTTTAGGGTTTAGGGTTTGAGAGACCTCGTTCAAAAAAGGGTTCATTGATCACTGCCCAACTGCATCCCCTGGGTCAGGTCTGGATTTTGCCGGATCTCGCTGAAAATCGGCTGGCGAAGTTGGCCGGTGTTGAGAAATTCGATGATCTCCAGGAGATCGTAGCCGCCTGGCCAAGCAGTGCCCCTTCACAGTGCAGCGATGTGAGACTTGCAGGAACGTTTCCGGGATTTCAGTGGACGATTTAGCTGAGCATCTCAGCGGCATGTGGTGAGCCCTCAGGCCCTCCAGCTCTCCTCGAAGAGCCTTAAGACACTGCCAGAGCGCTTTGGCCTCGTGTGCAGAGACTCTCTGCAATCCTTGCGGATCTTGCACTCCGGCTTGCGCTGCCTGCCAGAGGCTCGTCGGAGAATCTTAATGGGATTCTGTTGCAGTGAATTTCATAGGGCTTTTTCAGGGGCCTTCTTGTTTCAATGTTCGGGCCTGCTAAGCAGCTTTTGATCTGAGCGCTGGTCCTTTCTTGCTCTTTGCTTCGTTCTCCCACTCTGCTGGCCTGCCTTCTGGCTGTCAGACTCGCTTGGGTAGCGCCTTTTGGCTTTGTCTTAAGGAGAGCTTCTGTAAGATGACGGCCCTGAAGCAATTGGCCTGGTACTCAGCCCGACGCGAGCGGCTCGCAAGCAAAGCTCTCGGCGAGACTAAGATGACTTGTCTTGAACTTAGGTCATCCTCCAATGCAATCTGCCAGCTCTTCCGTTGCTTTGTCATCAACCCTAAACCCTAAACCCTAAACCCTAAGCCTCTTCCTCTTCAGCGGGAGAAGTGTTGCCGCTGCAGGCCCTCCTTCGTGGAGCTTCCCAGCTTGGAGGAGCTCACGATAACTGGAAGCCGACTGGAAAGCCTTCCTCAGGCAATCTGGACTGCCAGAGCCCTTGCAGCGAAGGATTCGCAGTCAGGCGCTGCGCTCTGTCAGGAGATCGGACAGATGGTCACTTTGAGGTGAGAACTGCAGTCTTCAACCTCTAGACACACATGACGCGGGCCCACTGCAGAAATGACGATCTTGTTGAGGCTCTTGCACCTGAAGGACAACAGCCTGAAAAGCCTTCCGGCACCCTCGATGCAGAAAGGAAAGCCTGTGCATTGAAGATGTTTCTATTATTACTACTATTATTATTATTATTACTATTATTATTATTATTCTTCTTCTTATTATTATTGCTATTATTATTCTTCTTCTTATTATTATTACTATTATTACTAGTATTAGAAGTCTCGCTTCCCAGGAAGGCCTGGGGATGCTGGGCCGCCTGCGAAAGCTGGAAGCCGACAGGAACCAACTTCTGCAGCTGCCCGCCTCCCTCCTGGACTGCCCCGACCTGGCTGCACCTCGGCCTGGGGGTAATATTAGGTCCCAAAAGACCATCCCTAGTATGGTTTTGGGAACCTAATTTCCGTAATAGTAGTGCAATATAATATACTAGATATCGTTTCGGGAGAGCTCCGACCCAAGAGCAAGCAGCATGCTGTCGGCGTTTCGGGGCCCGAGGTGCTGGGCCTTTCCAAGAACATGCTCAAGAACTTCCCTACACCTGCACGACCCGCCAACTTGCAAGTCTTGCATTTGGAAGGCACCTCTCCCTGCATTGCAGAACTGCGTATTCAGCTTCTTAGTTCTGGGCCCTTAGGATTCTAGGCCCAGCCCGCCTCGTGATGCGCTTGAGGCAACCGCATGTCGAATCTGCAGTTGGCGTCAATGCCGTATCTTCAGGTGCGATCGGTGTGGGTACAAGTCAGACGAGTTGGGTCAAGTCTGTCTTCGAGATTGATGGCTTTGCATGATCTCTATATGGCTCTAAAACTTCAGAAGCTGTTTGGCAGAACCTTTGCACCACGGACTCAGGAGGTATACATTGATGCCAACCCTCTGCGGCCATCTCTGCCGAACAGCTGCGGCGAGCTTGGCTCGCTGCGACAGCTGGAGGCCGCTTTCTGACATGGTGGTGTGCTCTCGCAACTGCTCTCCACGTGTCCCCCATAAGCAGGCTACCGGCTGCCTGCTTGAGACTTTGCCTCCGAGCATCGTGGCTGCAATTCTTTGCCGCAAGGGTGGAAGGAGGGATGACTCTCAGAGGTTTCCCAAGCCTCCGGAGCCTGGAGAAGTTGGACATCTCCCGAAACAAATTAAGGCGCTTTTGCCGTTGGCTTCTTCTGACCGTCTCAGTTGCGACCTGTCTCTGCAGGATGCTGCCCGAGGACTTTGGCCAGCTGCAATCATTGAAGAGGTTGGCCATAACTGGGAACCGTCTGCAGCACTTGCCAGAGAGCTTTGGAATCTTAGCTGCAACAGGATTCGACTCATCGTGCGTCCTGCGTGCGACGGGAGAAGAGACCCTTCTGTGCAGCCAAGGTGATTTGATCTCGCTGCAGACCTGCCACCTGCTCCTCTGATGCAAAGCCCAGATTCCGTGAGAGCATGGTTGCAACATCTGCAAGGAATGCGAACGAGCTGACCAAGCTGCCAGAGGCTCCTGCATCCTCTCATTGCAGGATTAGCATGTGTCTCTAGAAGCGGCTCGCAGTCGTGATTCTATCTGATTTCTGGACTGCCGAGTCGTTTGGTCGGCTACAAGCTTTGGAGGACAGCCACATGCATCTGCAGGCTTTGGTATTTACACAGTCTTGAGACACTCCGGCAATCTCAGGCCGTCCTCAGTGTATGTGATGAAATGACACATGGATGCCATATGACATGCAAGCTGCATCCGGTACTTGACCACATGGCTGGGGTTCTTGGTGCAAGCCTGCAGGAGCTGTGCTTGGCAGAGAACTGTTTGACGGCGTTCCGCCTGCACCCGGCGTCAATGCATGTCCTCTACACAGCTGGGAGTTCAAGCTCAAGCTCAGGTTCTTCCCAGCTCCTTCACGCAACTCATTGCGCTTCGATCCGCTGTGCCACTCGGGGGCACTGGAATGACCTTCTGCGGATGTTGTCTTCGTGGTGCGGTTTTCCCTCTCTCTGTGCAGCGAAGGTTAACACGGAATCGCTTGACCTCCTTGCATGAAGATGTCTGGAAGATGTCGAATCTTCAAACTCTGGTTCTTGATGGCAATCCTTTGGATGCTTCGGGAAAAGAGGTCGCCCGCAGTGCGTTGACTAACCTCTATGAAGGGCGGAGGTCCCATACTGTGCCACCAACGAAAGCTGACGGCCAAGTATGTGCCGAGGTGATGGGACCCTCGTTGTTAGGCCAGCACTTGGTGAGGATTGATCCGCGCCCATCTCAGACGACGGCAGTGATGAGGGGTGCTGTACAGGTACCAGATGGTACCAGCGCTCAGTGGGGGAGCATATCGCGCGCACACGCCACACGCATCACTCTACTCGTTCCGTCTGGCTTTGCCCCTCGCACTTGCAGGTGCCCTCTTCGTGGGCGCGAGGTGGCATTCAGGGACGTTCATGAATGCTGTTAAGTAGAGCCCAGCCCACACCACGGGGCCATCAGCGCTGCGGCATGAAAGGGATGTGCGTGCTGTGCCTCGGGTGTCTGCGACTTGTCCGGCTCCGGCAGAGAGTGGGCCATCTGTACCACAAGTGCATAGCTGCGCATTCTGTTCGTCGATCTTTCAGCTTGCCATGTAGTTCTGTCTCGGGGAGCGGGCGTGACCGCAATGCTGCTGTTCGCTTCGCCGGCTGCATGCTCGGTGCCAGTCGGGATTCACATGTCCTGTTCAAATGACTCGTGCTGCCATGACGAAGGTCCCGCAGCTTGCTGCCAGAGCCGTCCCTGCTCCACTGTCTGAATCTTCACCCCAGGCAACGACTGACCTGTCCACACAATCGGTCTTTCCAGAAAGCCGACTTGGCGTACAGTTATGCTCCGCTTTGAGCCACTCGACGTTTATCTTTCCACGATGCATGAAGAGGCCTATGCCAGAGTGAGTGCTCATGCTTCAGACGAATTGCAGCGAACAAGGCCGGTGTAAAGCTGTGACAGGGAGCCCACGTCCTGCGGCCTGCATTGACAAGTGTTCCGTCCGGTGCATCGAAGGCGGAGCAGCCACGTATGGATGGCCCCGCTTGCTGCCTCCGTGGCCTGTGCAGTTCGCGCAGGAGAGCATTCCACAGCTTTGAGTTTTAATGTTCTGAGCATAGGGGCCGTGGACCTTGTGCAAATTACAGACGAGCTTGTTGGCGCGAAGCGCATAGTTCATAGTATGTGCCAGTCCAGAGCTTCCCTGGCCCTGTCGCAGGACGCAGGCGGGTGGCGAGAAGAAGGCGGGGACTCGGTGCCAGGCTTACCCAGTACCGGCTTCGATTCAGCGGCTGTCAGGTCAGTGGTTTTGCGAAGAGCCGCCACAGCCGACTCTATGGATCTGACCTCGATGCGTTCCCCTGCACCAGCACCAGGAATGTCTGCAGCCTGGCCTAGGCCACCTTGATGGCTAGAGCCTGTCCGGACTTGGCCGCGGCATCTCCGGCCCAATTCGCTTTGCGTGCCTTCAGCTCGAGCAGGAGTCCGTCCAACTCAGGTGTGGCTTCTCTTGTCAGGAGCATTCAGTGTAGAATGTTATGTGGTTGAAGGTTGCACCGGACACGGACGATGCGGTTGTCGTCATGACGGGTCTCAGCAAAATCGTCATCGTCGTCATCATCATCATCATCATCATCATCATCATCTTCATCTTCATCATCATCATCATCACCACCACCATCATCATCATCTGTTGCTCCGGTCTTGTCGTTCCTGTTTGCATCAAGCGGAGCAGAGCGGCTTTATCTTACAATACTGTTACAATACAACTAACTAAACCCAAACTACATTTACAACTGTCCAGAGTTGTGAAAAGTGTGTGGGCGTAGATATAAGCCGACTGCAATGTGATACTGCTTTCGTAGGCCGTGGATCAACATCGCACTCATAGATTTTCATTCTTGCTGTTCCCCATCTGTGTGTAATCTGCATGCTTTCGCAGCATGCGGACTTCGTGTGCTCGCGGCAAGTGGCAGGTGGCCGAGGTTGGAGAAAGCAGGGCCGGTGAGGGACTTGGACTGTTTGCAACCAGGTCGCCCATACCTCAGCTGCTCTGCCATCGCATGGCAGTGGTCAGTTCAAAGCCGGTCTTGGGAGGTTCAGCGAGGGCGACGAAATCTGTGCGCTCCGCTTAGACAAGGCGGCGATCATGCAGGTAGACCAGGCTGGAAGCCGAGCTTCCCTCGTCCGCTAACGGGTTGCAGGATTTATATATATATATATATATATATGTTTTTTGTGCATTTTGGGGCTTTGCTTTGCCAAGCCCCTACCTGTGTCTAAGTTCGTCGTGGGTCGTGCAAAGGTGTCCGAGCTGCAGACTGAGGCATTGTCTGACAAGCTTGAAGGAGGAGACTTTGCGGCACTGGCCTTCCAGGCCCGAAGACAAGCCATTTCCTGTCCTTTGATGTCGGCTTTTGCCGGTGGCAAAAAGGTGCTGAAAGCATCTCGTTCGGAGAAGCCCCGGCCTCAATGAAGCGAAGGTCTGTAGCCTGTTGACAAAGCCGAATGGTCACATTCTGCTACCGACTTGCTTGTGAAGTCGTCAAGTTCCGCTTTTTCCGGTTCGCCGTTGTGGCACAGCTCTCTGGGAATATGACCAGGCGTTACCATGCGAGCATCACTGTAGAGTCGCGCCATGACTGCTTAGTGCTGCCAGCAGTCCTAGCTTCATTGTTTAGGCATTGCTCTTCCTCTCCGGATGTCGTTGCCATGCCTGCCGAAGTATTGCGCGTGGGGGCGAGCAGGTTGCTCTGGGATGACTTTGCCGTGGCAGTGGCCAGGGCATGTTTCGAAGCCTGGACGATGTCCACAAGCGGGCGCCTCTTTGGCGGCGGGGACGCCCAGGGGTCAAGACGGGAGGCGGAAGTTGCGGAGCTGCGGTCCGAGCTGGCCTTCAGCCAAGCGAAGATCCAGCGGCTGGAGCAGCAGCTGAGAGAGCAGGAGTGGCTTTTGGAGGCGTCGCGGTTCTGCAGCAATGTAGACAATTGCAGCGACTCTACGGGGGCCCCGTTCTCACATTCCGGCAGCCCCGTGGATCGACTTGACTGGCAACGAGCCTTAGACCGGGCACTCCTGGAGAGGGATCAGGCGAGACTGGAGCGGGAAGAGATGCGACTTGAACTGGCAGCGCTGCAGGCCTTAGACTAAGCCCTTATGTGGGTCAGTTTGACTTGGAGAGCATCGCGGCTGCGGTAGTTCGTCAGAGTGTGTCCTTCAGGTGCTCTGCCAGGCCAGAGATGTGCATGCCGCACATGGGCCGGATGGGGGCACTCGGCCCGCCTCGCCTTCCAAGCGCCCGGCGCTCGCGGTCCGTGCGGAGCTCGCAACTCGGGCTCAAACTATCTCAAACTTGCCGCGTCCGATTGCCGATGCAAGTGCATCATGCGATCGTACCGTCACGCCGTGCGATCGTCATCCGCCTCAGGCGGCGGCCGCCAGGCAGCTGGAAGACTGCGTCGCAGTTCTGGGCGGGTCGCTGACTCACTTGTGTTTCGCAGGGCATTCCAAGGCCAAAGCGAAATCCTTCCTGGGTGCCAAGGCATTCAGCGGGTTTGTCGTCTCCAAGCAAGAGCCCGACCCACTCCTGCAAGTCGACATGGCTGTTGCCCATGTCCCGCACAGACTCCAGACCTAAAGCCTGCACCTCAAATGTCAGGGTATGCTTGTCCGAGTTGTGAGAGTGTAAATGTCAGGGTATCAGAGCTTCACTCCGCATAGCCAAGAAAGTGCCGTTGGTCCAGTGCAGGCCGCTTCAGTGCAGAGGTCATCACCCAAGACGCTCCTCGGAAAGACTGGACGTAGTGTCGTGCTGTCTACAGTGAGTCTACAGTAGCTGCTTCTAGCTTCTAGATAGAGCAGACCCTAAACCCTAAACCCAAACCCTAAACCCTAAACCTAATGGAGCGAAAGTCCTCTTCATCCAAGGGGTGCTGTGCTCCAAGAAGCTTCCAGTCCGTTGCTTTGCAGCAAGCGGGTCCCGTCCGGAGCCTGCTAATATCTGCTGATGGTTTGGAGTACCCTAACCCTCCAGGTACCTATTTTATAGGGCCTTAGGGGCTCTAGTACCCTATATAGTTGGTAACTGGGGGGTTAGGAGTATCGTCTAATTCATACTCAGATTCGTTCAGCCCGGCTTTCGTACCATTCACCTTCTCCCGCGGTGTGCAAGTGCTGCAGCCAGACAGGTTTTTTGCTGCCGTAGCTTGGCTGCACTTGTAGGAGTTGTAGGAAGTTCTCGAGACTCCTCCATTAGACCTGACCGGCCGGTTTATAATTGGGAGCATTGTGGGAACCCCCAGTCTTTCGATACGCAGGTATGTA